GAGAGAGAAAGAGGGGGAGGGGGAAGGGGGAGAATTCGCCACGGTCACCTTGAAACGGGTTACATAAAAGCGCGGCGGTCGCGTCCGCGAATTAAAAGGCAGGTCGCTTCTCCTTTCTCCTCCGCCCCGCCCCGCCCCGCCGCCGTCATCTCTCTTCCTCCTTCTCCTCCTCCTCGCAGTGCGCGAGCGATCGGGAGGGGAGCACATCGATCGGGGCGCGTCCCACCTGAAGGAGCGACGGCGCGACGAGAGTAACAGCTTGTACTGCGCCGCTCTGGGAGTATCCGCCCAGGCTCCTCCCATCAGCGCTTGAGGACGGTCCTCGATCCAGTGGCGGATCCAGACGGGGTCACGGGGCAAGGTCCTCCCTAAAGTACCTAGAGTTTTCGTTTGTTACCTCCCCATTACGTGGCAAAATTGATTTAAATATTCATGTTGAAATTATGTAATTATTTAACAAAAATCTAAGATGACCCCCCCCCCCTAATCATTGGTTGGATCCGCCCATGCCTCCATTAAAGATTTTCTTCGAGCTGCCCTTGACCTGGTGAGCAAACGCGGCGATTGACCCTCGTTTCTCTTCTGAGCACAAAACGCAATTCCCCCTAACTACGTCATATACAGTTTTCACTGCTTTTCACGTTCAATTATAAATCTGTATGCGCAGACAATAAATGGTAAAGTAAAAAACTTCTTACATTCCAGGACACGACTTTTAACTCATCTCGATACTGATGACAAATAACATCGCCTTTGCAAGTTTAAAAGTCGTGCCCTGAAAGTAGAAAAATTTGACTCAATCACTTATTCCCTGTGCATACGGATTGCATTTGCTGAATGCGACGTTCGTTTAGTTGTTGATTTCCTAAAAGCGACATCTCCATTGGTCTCTCTAGTAGATGTGGCAATAATTACACCACCTAAGCGGAAGAAAACCGTGAGAATGAAAAAATGTTTCGTTAATCTGTTCGGTTCACATCTTCGGAAATATCAATGAGTGATTATGTTGGCTCTCAAAAGACAGTCGAGGACATTAGCGAAGATGACAGCCAAAAAGTTGGTGGTGGCACATACAAAAATCCTTCGTCAAAGGCAGCAACCAGACTCTTCTATGATTCGAATCCAACAGGCCGCTCATAGACAGTGATACAGAAACGAAAGCATGAATTATTTATTAAATGTCAAAGCGGCTTTCGATCAATTAATTTGTATTCGCCGGCCAGGATAACACATCCTCCAATTCCTTGCACCTACGCCACTGTGGCGACGCCATGTGAGAACGTGCGAAAGCGAATCACTTATGCAACGACCGCACCGCTGAGCATTTCCATTCCGATCCACAACACGATAAAACTGGCGCAGCAGTAATAAACACGTTCCCCACCCAACACTTACGTCGGGCGCATCTGACTGCTGACTGCTGCGACCTTCTCGGCAATGGAAGGTCGCACGTTTAACGGAACAAAACAACTCGGCGATGGATAAGTGCGAAGGCGTAATAATGGAGTAATCGCTGAGGAAGGGTATAAATAGAAAACGCCAAAGGCTGATATGCGACGGAGGCGCGCTGAACATTAGTTCCGAAAGCTGCCGTCGGAGAGCAGCACCTCATACAGACGGCAGAGCCCCTGGGGGAGAATAGGACAAGCGATTTCTGTCCCTCTCGGCAGACTTCTTTCTTCAGAGAGAACTAGAGATTTATTTCGGGGCCAATGAGCAATAACGAATGCTATGCAGTAAGGAGGGCATAACAAGTTCCACTGCATACTAAAGTGGGCTCGCCAACTGTGGCGAGATTGACTTTTACGATATCTTTACCAGAATGTTTTGTTTTTTTTTAATTAAAATGTATTTTTAACAGATAAGATTGTTTATTTGTATGAATTATATGTTTTACTCCCCTCCCTCCAGTCGTCAAATTCTGAGAATTGACACGAATTTAACCCTTAAAATAACATGCAGTTGTTCATTTCTTACAATAAATATTTTTAACAAACGGAATAACATTACATGACCTCACTACTAGAAATTGCAACGTTTTCATCTTTATCCACAAAATTGAATAGAATCTCTTTTGGAAAAATAAAAATGACAATTTCTAATTAAAGTTTATTTTTAGAACACTAAAGAAAGTAACTTGGTAATGCCTAATCCAACATGAAATTTAACATAAACTGGAAGTGTTCACATGTCTAAAAGACTCAAAAAGTTAAATTTTTCCTCTTTTCTTGCATTCAGTGTCATTTTTGATTTGGGTAATTATATTATATTTCATATTAAATGTTTTGTTAATTCACTAATTTATTAATATTCAAAAGCAAAATACTTAAATTGTTTGTACTTTCTATATAGTACAATATTGTATGAATTATATAGCCTACCAGGAAAGTTGCTCCGCAGTGGCACCTCATTGGCGAGCACGCTTGCAAATGAAATTATGTTGGTAGCACAAGCTGCAGCTTGTAATGAGAGAAAATTTAAATTTTGTACTCCCCAAAATCATAAAATATGTTGGAAGTTGTGTCCCCTTCATTTGTTTTCTAATGATCTGGTTGCTAACAGCATAAGTGCAATTTTTAGTAAGAGGCCCTAATTTAGCACAGTGTTTGAGAGGCCTCTCCTGGTGCACTGTACTGTTGTTTATTACTATGGAAAGCAATTATACTGTACTCTCTACTTCCTTTAATTTAACATTACTCAAAACAATTAATCAATTATGTTTTAGAATTTATAGATATTATTGGTTGAAATTTGTTTTCCTCACTCAATTCTCATCTAGATTACTTTAAGATATGAATCCATTAACTTTGGGTAAGAATACTCAAATTATATTGAAGAATACAGTTTTAACATCATGTTATGGGAACAATTAAAAACAAAAATGCATTTGTAGTATTTGCAGGAAGGAAATTACAAAACATGCCTCTCTAAGATGATAAGAGGTAACGCATATTGATAATTGTTTTCACGTATTTATGCAGTGTTGCAGATGATATTGAAGTTCTTCTTGTGAAATAATTATTGTTTTAATGTGTTGTCATATAAAAATACTGTTGCAAGTATTAAAGTATTTACAATGAATTTTAAAATTATTATATTGTAATATGATAAATAATTTTTATTCTGGAATTAAAAAATGTTCTTAAGTAAAAAGATTTTTCTTTTTCATTAAAACTTCTACACTTGGTAACAAATTATGCAAAATGCTGTTTCCTTCTCATTGAATATGAATCAACGAATAAATGTGTGTATAATTTACACATACTTAATATGCAATGATGTATTTGTTCAGTCTGATGGGGTTCGCAAAATTACCGCTTCTCAGCATCACGTGTGGTCATAACTTGACCTAATTCTGGTCACAAACATTTACCTGATTCCTATTGCAATGACCAAGAACAATTTTTCTTTTCCTTCATCTTAAGAATGAAACTTCTTGTCTACTAATGTTAATTAACTTTCAAGAATAATAAATCTTTCTAGGGCAATGCCCTCTTATTAGCACTCCCAGCTCCCACAGTTGTGAGCATTCTTTAATTGACATAATGGATATTATTTAAACACTTTAATAAAATGCAATACAGTTTGAGTAGATGGAGTTAAGCCACAAAAATGAGTTTTTAGAAAAGAAAGAAAATCTCATAATTTAAAGCAGTTAATGTGTCTTAAAATACTAAATTCCCATCCTTTGTTCTTTAGATTGTAGATGTTGCCTTATGTAATTCTCTGGGCAACAATACCCAATTTCACAAAAAAATAATACCTTCATCTGAACCAAACATTATTGAATTTAACTTTCCTCTTTAATGAAAACTTTGCACGAGGCCAAACAATTCACAGACTTACAAGAAGGAACTGGATTTACATATGCTAATAAATATTAAACATGAATGAAATTATACAGTAAACCCTCAGAAAATATGCTCTGGTTCCAATAATTATTATGTAGAATTTATCTGGCACTTTTACTATACTATTTTTACTATATTATGAAATTTCGAAGATAAGAATTAGTAAGTTTCCACAATGGAATGTCAGTCACATAGGAAATTTGACAATTAGCACCAGAGCAGCATTTGAATAACATTCCGAGAACGTATCCGTAGCTACTTTCATACCTTGCAAAGGGAAGTTCCTTTCTTTCTCAGGGTCTGTTTCATACACATTTGTAGGGATTTGCGACTTGTGAACACCTCTTGGATTTGTAAAAGTTCAAGATGCAAGTTCTTGTAGTTCAGCAGTGTTACCAATATCCTCAAAGGCACACATATCCTCAAAGGCTACATATCCTCAAAGGCACACAGTACTCGAAATGTGATTTTTCTGTTAAATATATGTAAATATTAATATTAAATACAAACAATGACATGCATAAAAACAAACTGCAAAATTAAATTCATTAAAATAAATATAGTAAAAAAGAATGTCTAATAACAATTGAAGTTTTCAAGAAAAATGTGCAGAAAACTTAGCAAATTTCAGAATCATGATGCTTGAAAAATGAACACAGGTTAAATGTGAAGATTGTAATGCATATTATGCATTACAAAATCATGTTTAAATAAATGGAAATTGTATTTTGTGCACATACCAAGCGAGCACACTTACTGATCATCGAGGGAAAATATGCATTTGCATGTAATTCTGGTCCCTAGTGATGACCATCACAATGAGCTTAATTGCGTGCCCAATTTTGTAGCACAGGCCAGTGTAGTTAGAGATTCGATAGTAGTACATTTTTGTTGTTGTACAAGTAAAGAAGTCTGAGCTAATGGGACATATATTTAAATAACCAATGATAAAGAAATATAGGGAAGCAATTTAGAAATATAATTTGTACACTAAATCTAAATTAATAATTATTACATGCAACTTATCTGGGATCTTCATTAAAATAATTGACTGGTTGGCAAAGTTGAGTAGTTTAGAGGCAAAACTTTCAAGAGAATCTGTAAACTAAGAAATTATACATCGGTTGTTTAAAAGGAAACTTGAAGTATCACCAAACTATGAACATGATTATCATAGTTTATTATTTGATTTTGATGTTGAAGCCAAGATTGTACAAAGACAAACTTAGTTTGGCAAGCCAAGGATTAGATCTATATCATTCTCAGAAACTCGGCTAATATTTTCAATAAGCTTCTTAACATAGTTTTTAACTACATTTACTTGTAGTTTATATTGTAATCCTGCATAAAATGGAGCCTAAGTTAATAATTGAATAATAAGCCCTAACTAGAATTTGAACAATCAGAGGAAAAGGGAATTATATAGGATATTTAGCAGGTGAAATTTTTAAATACATAATGAGCACTCACACAATTTAATGCTACATTAAATAATTTTCTACAAAACTGAATTTATGTAAATTAATATACATATTATTCTTATTATGATGTGCAATGTTTTACATGCATAGGATGAAAATAAATAATGATTCAATCCTCAGAAAAACAATGAATGTTATGTTTAGGAAATAACTTGTTATTCTCACAACAAACACCCACTCACACATTCAACTTTGCTTAGTTTACAAATATTTCTGCTTGTCTATATTTAAATTTCAAATTCTTTGTTTATAAGTACACAAAGCCTTCAGTTAGCAGGAAGACAAATCAAAAGAATTTAAAATGATAAGATCTAAATTGGGAAAGGTAGTAGAATTAATGAATCTGCAAGAAGAGCGAACTAGAAAAATACAAATCTTGGCATACAGAGAGGAAGTATGAAGAATAATCTCTATCAATCAATTTCTGGAGACACTTAAAGCACCAAAGGATCTCGCTTTTTAAGTACATCATGATGTAGATACAAACCAAGCATCCATCAAATACATTGGCACAAACTGCTTGGAAATGCATAAGTAATTATGCTTTGCACAGAAGAAAAATGTTTAGGTATTACCAATAAGCATGGAGTCAATTAGGACAAGAATGCCACTGCATTACTAGAGGTAGAACGTTTAACTAACAACAGATCGGTTTATGGACAGCCAATCAGGATTCTCTGTATTGCCTGCATTTCTTATGATTTACAGGAGAATTTCATATATCAAGCAAAGCTGGCTTTGTTTCCTTAGCACACTTCACCACAGATTGAATAAGTTTCACAAATCCAGTGTCTTTAGGTTTTTCCAAACCTCGCAGGAGTCTATTTTTCATGACTGCAACAAACTCACGATTGCTCAGTTGTCCATCCTCTGAAAACACAATTTTGTTTTAATACTCTTAATAATGAGGTAGTATAAATAAATATAGAGGAAAGAAGTCTTTCCTCTATGATATAATGTGTGAATATTTGAAGAACTCAGTTTTCAATTATACAGAATCCATCTCATTAAAAATGCAGAACGATTTATAGAATCATGCTTTATTAGTTGTTTTGAATTTTTAACAGGCTCAAAACACTAGTATCAGATATGTTTCATATTGAAAAAACATGCAAGAAGAAATAATGAAGTACTGGTGTTGATAAGAGAACATGACCTCTTTCATGTCAATCGATATATACTTATGAAATAGTTCTATTTGCTAAATTTGGCCATTATTTATTTTAGAATAAGGAAATAAGGAAAGAGTGGAAATGACAATGAACAGAAATCAGTGGAGAAAATCATATCCAAAATCAGTTAAAGTTATGCCTTAGTGATGATGATGATAATGATTTATTTTAAGGCCTTGTTATTAAAGAAGTTTTACTGTCACGACAAAACATTTTATGTTATTATGGCCTATGTGATCATTTTGAATACCATGGTTAAAAATTTTATTAGAAGACGAAACAAAAAGATTAGGCATTATCTACTTTCTTGCAGAATTCAAGTTCATTAGTTAGCTTTCTGAGGAAAATCATATCAGAATTAAATGATTTCAATGATAATGTTTTTTAGCACTGAGAATTTTTATCAAAATGTGTTACATGAAAACCCCAAACTGAATTTGTCAGATTACTGAAGTGTATAAGTAAACAAATACATTTGCATTATTAAGATATTTATATGTATCCTATATGCAAATGTATCATATTCAGTTCACATTTCTTGAGGATTACAATCTTTATTTTGAAGGCTTAGCTAATTCAATAATTCCTGAAGGAAAATCTAACAGAAGTATTAATCCATATACTTACTACACATTTCTAGTTTCATTTATCAATTTTCGTTTTTACACTAATCATGAGTAATGAACAAGTAAACCACAAAGTTTAGTTTGCACATGATCCTTACTTAATTTTTACGTTCAACAACCCGCTTCCAAAGAGGGCCAAAGGCATAAACATCTTCACAGGGACTTCTTGGTACATAAATAACTATTAACACATAAATATATCCACTAGTAGTTTAAGATCAGAGAGCTTCATTAAAGCCTCAAATATCTAATCTGAGTATTCATTTGCAACATGTATTTGCACATAAGAAGTAAAAAACAACAAACAATATTAGTCTTTATTATAAACATTTGCATGTTAACTTAAAAAATAAATAAAAAATCTTTTAAAAAAAAAGGAAAGTACTCACGGTTTTCATCAAATATAGTGAATACGACATCAATGACATGATCAGACAAATCCACGTGAGCGACAGTTTTTGCTACATGTTTCAATGTGGCTGAGGGACAAAAGAAACAAATGTTCGTTAGTTCACCACTGCAAATACAATAGAAACATTCTGCAATTTAGTAAGAGAATTTTAGTAAGCTGATAATGATCCTCATTCTCAATTGCAGCATGAACAATTTTCACATTATAGAAAACAGTTTAGAACACACCATAAAAGGCGAACAGTCAAACTACACAGGCAAAGAAGTGAAATGGAAACAACAGTTTGCACAGGATTTATCCAAACCTTTATGCGCGTGTATCTGTGATGTGATGTAAGATCATGCAATAATATTTCAATAGCACTGTCATTTGGATGCTATGTGAAACTTCATTAGAGCACTAATGCCATTAATTTCATTACAAAATACTTTTGGATGACAAAAGAGAAACCACTATTCGAGTAACATTTGTATTTTAACCAAAATATTTACTCATTAACAAACAGAACCCATCCCTTACACAATAAGCCAATATAATACACCCAAAATAGTAAATCTGTAAAATAATAAAACAGTACATTTTGATCTACCACATGTATTCAGTCTACATGTAAAACAATAAAAGATCATTATATTTAAAAAAAGGCTTCATAATCAATACAGGTCAAGCTTTGAATGATACATATTATAAGTTTTTTGACACGTTCTTTCCAGAGCCATCACAATTGGAATTTTGAAACATTTTCCAAGCAAATGGAACTGTTCAACACCAATATCATCAGTGGAAAGCTCAATACAAAGCACACAATGAAGTTGGACCATACACCTCGCCATTTAATGCATTGTTTCTGCACCCCAGATTACAATCAGAACATTTGAAATTTGACATTTTCATTGTTGACTCTTGTAGGGAACAAAATCCTCTGAAACCAATATTCCATGAACTATCCAGCAGGATTCTCTTATAACTAATGTATAGAAAGAAACATGGGTTTCTAACATATGGAAAGAAAATTCCCGTAATTTATAGTTCTCCGAACAACCTTCTGCTTCAAATGAGTTCACCAATAATGAGGTTGAACTGTAGTTTTTTATGTATTAAAGCCACATTGCAGTGGCGTAATGTTCAGGTCAGCAATGTCCGCAATGGGAGCGGACCTCCAGAAAAAAAAAGGGTCTACTTTTAAGCTGAAGGTTTTGCAAATGTAATAAACATTCATTACTTCATACTTTCTCTGTCACTTAGTGATAATTTATACTATAAAAGATTAAAAACAGAATCTTCCAGAAGAATGATTTTTTTCTGCGTTGGTAGCTTATGGAATCCTGTTTCTAAATCAATAAAGGTAAGCATTCAGGATTTTCGTTTAGGTTTTATATTAGCCCAAATTTCATAAAATTAAATAATAAAAAGGCATATTTTCCCATTATTGGTTATTAATCATACACTGATGACTTCAAATTTTTTAAAAGACATTTTTATTATTTAAGGTAGGTATTAACACTATACACGTTTCCTATACACTTTTATAAAGGAGGCCTAGATAAAAGTTTTGTGGGTGGGCTTACACACATTTCGTTAAGCTACAGCCAAAATGCTTATGCTTTCTTAGTGAAATAAAATGATGTAAATTTCAGAATGGTAGAAAAGGGAGAGAAAATGATTTTTATTGTGATGATTTATTTTATGTATAATTTTAATTACATCCATTTTCATTCAATTTCATAACACATTGGGTTTCACGACCACCATGAACTCTCGTAAAAATTTGGAGACAAGTGTGCAAAGGATAATTTATATACTGAACAGAAACTATCAGTTTGTAACAAAATTTTGAAACAAGAATAACACTAGACCCTTTTCTATTATAGAAATTGAACTGGACATGGTATTTTTCAAAAGAGATGGAAAGGATGGTGATAATGTATAATCAGAGATTTACATAGAAACTATTTATGTGTACCAACAATCAAGCAGTGAAAATATCCGAAATTAATTTTAGCATTCAGATCTTTATTTTATTATTTATGCATCTGTTTGGTGCAACTAGAATGTCCACACAATGTCTATCTCAGTAACAAAAACCACGATTAAAAGAGTTTTAAAGAAAATGAAATAGTGATAGCACAGGCAATAACTTTTAACATTTTCATTAGCTGGCAATTTTCTAGCAAATTTTTAATTTTTATTTGATAGTAAAAATTACTTATAAATTTAAAAAATTCTTAAGTGACCTCTATAATATTAGGGCGTCACCCTACATGGAGGTAAACACAGTCAGGAGATTAGAAATTCTTTATATAATGGTTACATGCCTCTAAAGAATAAATATACAGGGCCGGATCCAGCCAATCATTTTGGGGGATTCTATTGTATATTTTTGTTAAATAATAAACATATTTGTTTATATATTTTATATTATTTATATACTGTAGATGTGATAATATACATTATTGTTTAAATAATTACATAATTCAAACCTAAATAAATATTTAAATAAATTTTGCCAAATAAAGTAAGGTAAAGGAAAACTATGCCTTTTTTTGGGTTGGGGGAGGGGGGAGTTAGGGCCCCCATGACATACCCTGGATCTGCCAGTGTAAATATACATATGCATCACTACATGTACAATTTGTATGTACTGTGTTACAACATGAAGTCAAAACTATACTATTCACTCATTGATCTTTCCTTGTGCACCCATGCAAATGATGGTCATGTATCAGATCAATTGGACAATTTGCCATGTGTTATTAGGGCTTAATACTTTCTCTCAAAAAATAGCCCTAGAAAGGAAAAACCATTACCCCAGTCAGAAATCCGTTTAGCATTATACTCCTGGAGAACAATGAAACAAAATAATTTATGTGACACATTTCATTCCTAAAACTGTTTTTTTTCTTTCTTCCTACTTTTGATTTAAGATTATTCTCCTTATATTATGAATTTTTGGAAGAAAATTGTTTTTACATGACAAAACAACTATTATTTACATAAAAATAGGTAATAATTTTATACAAACCTTGATCAATTGAAGCTCCAGCAATGTGATAAAAAGTAAGAGCTGTATCAACATCATTAATGTTGTTTAAGAAATGAAAAAATTTCAAGTAATCTTCCCGACTTATTCCACGAGCATTTTCCTTGAACCTGGAAGCAACAAAATACATCACAATGTTATTTATTTTACACAATATTATTTATTTTATGTTATGAAGAAAAGTTAATACATTTTGTTGTAAAGCTTGCTGATATTGGTGGTCATTATAATATTTAATTATTTTGCACTTACTTCTTCTTCACACGTCTTAACATTTTCGTTTTCTTCTTTTGTGGGTAGCCAGCATATGCCAGCAACAATTCGGTGAAATCTGCTTCAGAGATATTACCATTTTCATCAGGGCCTTTGCGTAAGAACTGAAATGAAAATGAAATGAATTAGAAGATTCATTCTCAGACAAGTCTGTTACCTTCAAATATGAGAATAATGCAAAAATAAATGTTTAGTAAATTAAAATAATTGTGTTCAAAAAAAGTATTTATTTTTTAATATGCTATCCTCAAGACAAAACCTGACTGTTTTGGATGAAATATATTTCATTTTGAATAATATTAAGTTCCAAATAAGATCCTCAGGGGAAGAAGATCCAGGTGGTGATGTACACATTCAATTTTACTTCAAAAATTATTTATTTAAATACAAAAAATAAAAATTGATTCCTGCAATTTAAGCATCTTGAAAGATTTTATACATTCAAGTAAATAAATACATGAAAGGAATACTCAGCACATATTTGTTAATATTGTTTTCTCGATACAGTTGTTAACATCTTGTCAATATTTTTCTGCATTCTGAGAAAGTTTCTTTATTAAGTATTCTTCCAATATGCACTGTCTTAAGCAAGAATCCCAATGATCACATGTACTTTCAATAATATTTTAAATAACCTATGTTTTAGCTTCCTCGTTACTTCAACTGAAGTTCTGCAAGCTGTTATTACCAGCAAATTGATTCTGACTACACATGTTAGAGGAAATAATTTATTGTATAAAGGAACACGTTTTAAGTTTCAGTGCATGAATCACTACCTTTTTCAACAATAACAACAACAACAAAAACAAAAAGGATTTTTAGAAAATCTTGTTCTGAAAATTGCCCATATTTCATGTAATATTATGCAAAAACTACTAATTTTTCCGAAAAATGAGCATGACCTTACTTAAAAATCAAAGTATTAAGAACAGATTTTATTAAGAAAACCTGTCTTCAATACTGTAGTTGTAGGAAGATCAGAAAAAAGTACTTTTGCAATTCTCGAAAATTTAGAGAATTCCACAAATATCAGACCTGAGCCATTTTCATAAGTATACTTTGCTCTGGTTGAGGAAGACTTTAAAGAAAACATTTGGAGCTATTTTTTAAAAATTTTCAAAATGCCATTCATAGATACTTTACCCCAACAATCAAATTATGCATTTCAAATGATGAAAATTCTGTCCATGATAGGGATGTTTATGGGAAGGTGGACAGTTTGCCGTAAAATAATTTTTCAATATCAAGGACCAACAAAACATGGATTCTGACATCACAATGTGATAGAAGAAGTTACGAGGAAGCTAAGTATTTACTACATATAGGAGCAAATAGTTTTTCAATATTAGGGGCACACAAAACGAGTTTTTCTCTAGGAAAGAAGCTCTTTTTATGGCAGCATTACAATACTTTCTTGTATGCATAGTATACTATGCATACGAGAAAGAAGAATGGTACATGGTGGAACTTTCTTGGGTGCAGATATTAAATAACTACCAAAATCAATCATCAATTTTGATAGTTTGGTCATGGTTATGAAAACTGTTGACCAGTGTCATTATGTATAATGGCTTGGGTAATTAATTTTTAAGGGAATTTGAAGATAATCATTTTGAATAACTTTTGTTGATATTATACGGAATTATACAGAGATAATTCAACTTTCATTCATCACTTTCACCATATTCCATAGATACTGAACAGAGGCCTGAAATGAGAATGTTATTTCTTCAGTAACATTCTTAAAACAAGTGGTGCTACAACAAGCATGTATTATTTCAAGCATTATTTGTAAATTTACAATTTTCGAAAATTCAGGGAGTTCAGCAAATCATTCTTTTAAGCACTGCTGCTTCAATCCATGCAAAAATGTAAAGAAAAAATTGAAGTCGTTTTTGAGGGGAAAAAAAGAAATAAATAATAATAATAATAATAATAATAATAATAATAATAAAATGATAATAATAATAATAATAAAATGATAATAAAATGATAATAATAATAATAATAATAATAATAATAATAATAATAATAATAATAATAATAATAATATTTTTAATTGCGTATATTTCGCTCTAAATTACACGAAAACTCATATTTTCGAATAACTGAACATGAACGTATTTAAAGTTCCGACAAGAAGTAACAGATTTCACTAAGGAAAAAATGTATCTACGCGTTCTACTCGTAGTTGTAGTAAGACAACTTCGTAGTAGGTCCCCCTCTCCGAAATGCACTTTCGAAGTTTTCAAAACATCAGAGATTTCAACCAACGTGAGATGTGCGCCATTCTCTAGATTTATTTACTTATAAGTTACTACGGCCTGGCAAAAGAGTTATTCGACCGAAAATTCGCAGTTTTCCGACGCACGATTAACGTAACTTTCTCTTCTTACGAAGTACAGAGTAAAAATATAGCTTGCTTCTTGAGACAAGAAATAGTGGAAAATCTCATATTCATTTAATTATGTGAACAGGTTTTTGGGGTCACATTGTGATCACCTTTAGAGCCATAAATTAGGATTGATATAATTACGAACAAAATCAAGCAGTAATTCGCATTTATATGCAATAAATGAATTTAACTTCAAGAACATATTATTTATACTCGTAAATTAAAGTCTTGCGATAAGACTATCTTATGCTACAAAAGCTATAATAACATACCACCCCAAGTAAATGAAAATTTGTTTTGAGGGGCTTCTCATACTAATTTGTTTCGTAATTCATGAAGTACTTTCTAATGGAATTTATAGTTTAAATTGTAATTATTAACGGACAGTTTGGGCGTTCGCGATTCTTTTTTCACGCTTAAACTTGAGCCCAATAACATCCAGAAAATGAAATATTACTTTAAAAACATGTAACAGTGGAATCTTTTGAGGGAAAGAAAATTGTACATGTCGCAGATAAATATTAAACTAATACTGTATTTAATTCCAAGCCTGAAAATATGTTGGTAATTTCCTACGTTCGAAACTAATTTAGAAAGGAATATCTATTGAATTTATTAATAAGAGAAATTAATCTAATTAATTAATTAATTATATATTGATATAATTTATACAAACCTCAAGGCTAAGAATTTCCCTTTGCAGTTGCTGCTGAAATTCCAGGAACTTTTCAATGGTCAACTTCTCATCCATATTTGGTCCGAAAAAGTATGTCGTAAGAGCAGAATTCACCCCCTACAAACAGTCAACATTGACACAAGTTAACATGGTTTTGAAACTTATAAGCACATAAATATATGAAACACTTTTCCAAAACACTTTCTTCTTTTACAAGAACAAATCACGCTATTTCTGGAAGATATTTCGGCACAAATCCCTTTTCCTATACACAGCTAATTGATGAATAAAGAACCAACACACCGTGGTTATTATCATTTGAAAACTTAGTTGTATCGGTAAACTAGATAAAAATTTGATTCGACAGTATTGCCAACAAAGTAGCAACCCATACCCGTCTCTACTCCTACTACAACTAGCAAAGGAGATCTAAAAAAAACGTGGGCATAGCAGAGTTGTTTTAATGTCCAAAAACCAAACTAGGATCCACCTCTGCATTTGGTCAATGGATTTACGAAAACTGGACGGAAAAGCTGATCGAGATGGGAGTCAAAGACCCAGAAACTGAATTACAATATGTAGTACAGGCATATTCAGTCTATTAGAATAACAGAGGACCTAATTTGAAAATTTCTTTATGGTTGCCTGAAAATATTTATGACACTTGTGAAAGACATAACGACATCTTTTCAACATCTCTCAACAAATAAACGAAATATTCCCCAGACATTAATACCATAAGTTTTGGTCCTACAAAGGACTACCCTATTTTCCTTGGAGTCAAATATTCCGTTACATTTTTCTAAACATTTATCTCGGAAAACAACATGGTGGTTACGCACGCACAGTTATGCAAGGAAAAAACTAAGCCTGTCGTAACAAGTTTGATTTTTGGCAATTTAAGAGATAACTTTTTCTAGATATAACAAAGAAGATGCAGTTCACGCAGTTTCGAGGCACATCTTCTGAATTAACACAAACACAAATCTTGAGGAACCACGAACAGGCACTCGCATCAAAGTCACTTCCTGGCACTTGGAACACTTTTAATCGAGAGACGCAAAAGGTAACACATATTCTGTGATTTTATCTGTTTCAACAGGACTTATCGGATATATTGCACGTCTCCATTTTCTGGATATCGGAACAACTGTACAAAAATTGGAGTTGGGAAATAAATAGAAATACAGAACGAACAGAAGATTGGCCATATTAGACAAGGAATCTATTTAGAAAGGGTGCGTTAATAGCTCACCGACTTTGCCTTAATGATTATAGATAGAACTGTAGCCCAAGAATTGTTCACCAGATGAAGTTCTTAGTTGCGGCCACCACTGGTACTCTCTTTACCTTGCTTACCGTTTGGTTGTGACCATCCGAATCCTTCACCAGGCTGGTCATGTATGTGTGGTACGTCGGACTTCCAACTACGTCCAGAGCAATAGGAAAGCCTAAACCAATAACATATCACCTACATCCAGGGACGGATCAGCCGATCATTTTTGGAGGAGGAGGCATCATTGATTTTTGTTAAATAACATATTATATTGCATTTTAAGTTTGTAGAGTATACACGATATCATACCATACTGTTTTTAAATAATTACATAATTCTAATATACATAAATATTTAAATTAATTCTGCCAAAAAATGGAAAGTAACAAATGAAAACTGGGCTTGGGGGAGGGGGGGGATGGCCTCCCCGCGCCATAGATCCCCCACTGCAAAACCTATCACTTGCAATGAACGGATGGAAACGCTGGCCGCGGGGTGCAGCCTTCGCAAAGCCACTGCCCACCACGAGAAGATGTTTAAGCCAAGAACTATCGGAATATTATTGTGGAATTAAGGGACAGTACTCTTTCCAACTATTCTTCATTATAAACTTATGTGTGCGCACATTTACGCTATTTTTAATTCGACGATAGTAATACAAACATTTTTTTATTAATTCATTTTACAACACGTTCTTAATCGCGTACAATGGAAAGAAAGCGGCTCGCGGAGTGCTGGCGCGCTCACCTTGAAGGTGTTGCCGGTGTTGGCGTGGTCGCGGTGGCGGCTGCCGATGCTCGTTTGCTGGCGGATGAGCGTGGCCACCTTCTCGAACTCCTCCGAGTCCACGTCGCCGTCGCCGTTCAGGTCGAACATCCGGAAGGCGATTTCGAAGTGGCGCCGCGACGCTGCAACACACACCGCCCGACACGCTCGCTCACTTCGCCGTGCACCAGCCCGCCCGCGCTGGGGAGGGGTTACTCTTCGCAGGGACCGCTTTGTCACAGGTTGGGAAACGCCAGGCAGGGCGATGGCAGAGCAAGAGATAGCGATGGCGGCATTTACAAATGAGCTGACTGAACGAACGCAATGACAAACTTGCCTTGCTTGCAAACATTGCCAGCAGTGGTCAAGCAGTAGCTGTCAAAGCGGTCCCTTTTCATAGTTATCTCTCAATACAGCACAATTCATATTCCAGAGTAGGCAGTATCTTGCCATCAGATAATAAAGCCAAATACATATTTATAATAATAATAATAATAATAATAATAATAATAACAATAATAATAAGCTGGCCCCCGTGGCGCAAACTGTTCCGGCAGCCGTCTGCGCCGAGGAGGGCGTATTTTCCAGTCCTGCGTAGGCATGGTCGTATGTGTGATTGTCCCCCTACCCCTGATCATCATCCTATGAGTACATAATTCACAATTCAAGGCGTTACAACCTTGTCATTCCAAGGGAGAGTGCCGAAAAAAAGTAGACACCCCATAATTACATACAATCTCTCTGAGATAAATGAGACAGAGCCTTGGAAGATAACGTGTAGATTGGTCAACAGTGGATATCAAGCATATAATAATAATACTAATATTTACAATAATAATAATAAACAGCAATAATAGTGGTTATGATACACGGATCAGTAGAAAGGTCTTCGCAGTCAGGGAAGAGACATGTCCAGCGTTTTGGCTGTCACGATCGGAACCATCTCCAGAGCAGAATGCGACATTCCTATGCGACATTCGAGAAGTCCAGCAGAAATTCCACATCGGTCATCCGGAATTTGAAGTCCGGTACACAGCGACAGAGGGTAAGTCCTTGCCGGAGCGTAGCCTTGGGGGATTAACGCTGATCGGAAGGGCGGGCCGCGTGTCGCGTCGCGTCGCGTGGTTTGGCGTCGTGTCGGGCCGCGTCCGTGGAGTGGGGGTCGGGTCCGAGGGTCGATGCATGTCATGTTCGGTTAAGGGAGGTTTCCGAAAGGGATTCGAGGGTCTGCGATGCGGACCTCAACAAGAAATGGGACGAGAAAAGGAAAATACCTTCAGAGAACATAAAGACGAGGAAGAATGAGACGGAAATAAGATTCAGAAAACGCAACTGTTTCAGTATAAACAAAATGGTAAAGTGGAAAGCACAAATGTAAAATGAAGCACACGAAAGCAAATGAGAGAGAGAGAGAAGATAGTGAGGAGAGAGAGAGAAGATAGAGAGGAGAGAGAGACAGAGAAGATAGAGAGGAGAGAGAGACAGAGAAGATAGAGAGGAGGACAGATTGAAATAGAGAGAGACAGAAGAAGATAGAGAGGAGACAGAAATAGAGAGGAGACAGAGAAGATAGAGAGAGAGGAAGATAGAGAGAGAGAGAGAGCAGAAAGTAGAGAGAGATATGGAGGAAGAAGAAACGGAGAGAAGCGGAGGCAAACGAGGAGCAATGTTGTTCGCGCGCCGAGCGCCCTCGTGCGGGGGAATCCCGGCGTGCGACGGCCTTCGCCCCGCCCCGCCCCTCCGGCGCGCCGGCTCGGTTACGCGCCGCAGGGCGGCATCGCCGATGGCGGGGGAGGGGGGGGGGAGGAGGAGGAGAAATTTTGATGCATGCGGCCGTCCCGCCCCGCCCCGCTCCGCCATGCGGGAGTGGATTTGAAACGGATACCGTGCAACTCGGATTAAAGAGCGTGAGCGACAGCTCGAGCCCCGGTGGCTCGTCACATGACGTCGGAGGTCGACGCGCGCTCGGAACTGCGAGTGCGCATGGCGTCTCTATACGCGTTACGCCACAGAAAGAAGGGAGGAAATCTAGAAACCGAACGGAAAAGCAATAAGTAACTGGCTTGTTTACAAAAATAGCTATGCTACTGAATGGCACTGACTTTCTCGCACACGGTAGTTGTCCCACCCTTTTCCAACCAATGGGCCCCTAAAAGAACATTTTTATAATGTCCACAATTTTTCAGTCCCCTAATACTAGATATGAAATGTGGGTTACATAATATTATAAAAGATTAAAACAAATTTTTATAGAACAATTTGGAGCAGACCTTGGGAAGTGACTATTGAGCTTTTCTGAAAATGCGCAATTTTGAGCTTATTTTCACAGAATAATTTTGAATTTTTGAGAAATGTCGTAAGAAAAGTAAGTCGTAATGTCGAAAAAATTAAAGCACTCGATTTTACAAATGCAATAATTTTTAAAAAACTGCGCATATTTAGGACCGAGAGATGTAAAAAAATTAATTTCTGAAAAATCAAAATACTCAAAATTGCTTTTGCCACTTATTCAATTTTGAGCATTGAGCAATATCAGTACCAAAAGTCTCAAACAAAATGAAGCTTTTTTTGAAAATCTTTTTAAAATTGCCTTTATTTCACGGAAAATAATTAAGAAAAGTTGATTTGGAAAGTTTTGATAACGTTTGCATCTATGAGCAAGCGATAAAGTACGTTTCTGTAAAAAACCCACACATTTTGAAATGTACTTAATGTTCATGTAAATAAACATAACTTTGGAGATTTCACCCCTGTGAAAAATCATTTTTTCTTTATTAAATAGTGTTACTTTTTCAATTTAGCCCTCTTCAAGTTCCGCCCTAGTTTGCGTTTCGCCTCAATCCAAAATAATTGACAGTGAACTGATGCTTGTAACTTGTGCATGGTGTCCTATGATTATACAATCTCCTTTCATCGCATTCCTAGACTTGCTCTATCTCTGTCGATTTTGCACGTATCGCTTCCGTTAAAATAAACACGTAATTTCAACGTCGGTAACTGCAACTATTCGTTATTTCCAATATTAGGGCGCACTATTAGAAAAAAAAATTTGCAATTCAAGGGACCTCGAGTAACAGAAAACAGTATAACGCTGTTAAAAGCCTTCCCAACCCGCACAGTGATGGACGAGTGAACCGAAGGTCTTCGAATGTGTCGTGGGTGAGTAGCAAGTTAATTAAGCGCCTTGCGGTAGGCAACCCACCCAACACCGAAACCCATTTCACGCGGCGCCTTTCAACCGAGCGGGCGGCAGCCCACGGCGCAGACAGCGCTTCCGCTTCGCCTCCAGGAGGCGTCGCCGAACAAATCTCGTCTAATGAAAGCAGTTCGCGAAAATAATGCAAAAGCCCCAGTCGTCGTCTCCAATCGAGCTGTCGTCTTCGACATTAAATATTTGCGAGTTTTTACGCACCTTCGTAACTTTGGAATTTTGATGACTGAGAAGTCAAATTATATATACGGAGGGTGGGAGTGATACTTAGATCTATAGTATATTTAAAACGAGTTCCAGATCGCTTCTCAGAGACTCTTTGTCAGCTAATACCTGATATCTTCCGAATGGATTTCAATTCAGTTTTCATCATTGTTTAGGTTTACTTTAGATTTCCATGCACCGGACCATAACAAAAGAAAAATCATCATTTCTTCGTGACAACAAATTTTGTACTAAATCAGTGATTTTGTAAAAGAAAGTAGTGGTGCTAAAACATCACGTACTTTCTCGTTCGTATTTTGACGCCTTACGTGCATAGTACTCCAATTTTCGAAAAATTTTACATGATCTTATTTTAAAATATTTCTTCAAGAAACAGATTTCATTAAGGAAAAATATCTTTAAAGTAATAATTGAAGGAATACTGCGGAAAAATTTTGAGTTATTGCCATTTTAGAAAAATTAGGGATTTTAAAGGATATGAGACATACACCACTCTCTTAAACGTATTTCACACTACACAACAACTAAAAATATAATCAAAATCTCTGGAGCATTTTTTTGAAAAATTTGAAAATGTTCCAGGGGCTTGATGTAAAGTACTTCCAAAATTAAAAAAAGGTTTCAAATGCAAGGGGCTGCGACATATGCGCGATCGATTGGGGAATATCAATTTTGGAGAAAATCGGCTGAAATGTTTAGCCACTAGCTATGTTCACAGACAAATGGACGAACGTTTTATTGTCATACGATTTTTCAGCATCAAGGGCCCACGCAACACAGATTCTACATCACGAGATAGATTATTTTCCTGCCAAAATTTAGCAACTGGATTACACAACTGGCAGCATTGCACAACTTTCTCTCAACTCCGTAGCGAGAAAGTAAATAAGTTACGCTATCCACGGATAATATATTTCGGGAATTTCGATTTTTTTGTGGAATGTTTTGATTTCTCTTTTACTAATTGTTTCCAATAATATGACAAAATTAAATTATATATCATAGTTTTAATATTATGGACTTAACAACTTTACTCCTATTTAGCTTACCGAAAAAGTATTTTACTTCTGCTAACAGCTTAACACTATTGTCCACTAAAGAACCTCAAATAAAACGGTACATTCACATTTTCAAATGACACTGATGCGACGAACTAGAAAACAATTTTCGCTTATAATGGGCTCGCCTGGCTCTATTTGATATCGCAGCACACACGTCGCTTCCAATGGAAGGCTTAATTTCCCCCGTTCGCTCAATTTCCATTTACCATTCATCCGACGCCATCAATCATTGTGATCGTGATGGAAATGCCTAAGTGCCATTGGCTTACACAACCGAGAGGTTTGGGCGCAATGGTTTTGATGGCGCCTTCCCTTATGACGTACATGCACATAAATTCATCAATCACAGACTTCCATCCAGTACAACTTGGCAGATAGAGCTCCAATTGGGAAAGCATAATACGTATTTTATGAAAGTCATAAACAACAGACTCCTTTAAAGTTATTTGGCCCCAAAACAGTTTGTTAACTTAATAAATGCCATGTTTTTACTGTCTTGCCTCACTTCGTAAGAAGAGAAAGTATTGTAATCTAACTGCAGAAAACTGCGATTTTTCGACATAAAAACTGTTATTGTCAGGCTCTGGCGACGAAAAAGTGAATAAATCTTGTTCCAACACGTAGACTTGTTTTTTTAACATGTTCA